ACCATGTACAACTGAAAACATGAAGCCCCAAGTACATGTCTCTGTAGAGGACATGAGCAGCCAGTCAGTAGAAGGGAAATGTGATTGTCACTCGTGTGTGGAACCTTATTCAGCTATGCCAGTGGTTCTCATGTGGGGGAAGTCTTGTCCCAATAGGCCTTTGGCAATGTTTGGAGACATTTTCGTCTGTCACGGCTTACAAGGAGGCTGCTGCTGGCATCTAGTGGGTAGAAGCCAGGCACACTGCTAAACATCCTGTAATCCACAAGACAGCTTCCCACAGTCACGTTTTATCTGGCCTAAAACATATACAGTGCTAAGGCTGAGAAACCTTGAGTTAGGCTGATAATTAAAGAATTGCATTTAGACAGAAATGAAGTACCTCAGTCTTCTTATTCATCCTTAAAGACACCTTAATACAAATATTTCCCTCATATAGCTTGAAACATAAAAAGCCACAAATGGCCTCACTTGATAAATGTTGCCCCAGAAGGTTTTGACCTAGCTGGAAATCAGAGCCCAGTGACAAAGAAGGAATCTCTGCTCCCCATGTAGGAGAGTTTGGGCCCAGGCGATGGGTGGACACCTCTAAGCTGGGCTGGAGACACTTGTAGGATGCACTCCTTTTGCTCCTGGCAGGTTGATACCTAGATTGAAAGCTCTTTCTGGCTGCATCTGTTTCACTACTTGTGCCCAAGGCCCTGTACCAGATATGCGACGCTTCCCAGGGATAATGTTCGTGGAGTGTTGGAAGCAAAAAAGAGCTAGTTATTCTTAACTTTCTTTGGTTTATAGGCCCTTTGAGAGAATCTGATACAAAGTACGAACACTTTGTCAGCAAACTCATAAATGGACACCTGCCTAAAGTGTGCAATTTGTGCAAATTCTTCAGGCCCTCCCTTAATTCTGCACTCCCTCCCTTAAAACATCCTGTCTGGTCTAATCCTTCTATAGAAGGCAGTGCCAAGAACACAAAAGCTGATGGAAAGGCCAGGTTTCCTGATGTACAAGGTAGTGTTCTTAGCGTTCTTTCCGTTTGAATCAGCCAGCACACATCCCACGTTTTACTCTCCTACACCTGTGGCAGGCATCGCTAAGCAATCACTGCTCTCCATCTGAAAATAGCCTTGCGTTCTTTCTCCCTGAAACACCTGGAGTCAGCACATGAGAGGAACCACTCGCCATCTCATCTCCCTGCTATGAGGAGACAGTTTCCAGTGTTGATACTGGAATGTAAAGTAATACAGTGATGGTCGGTGCCCTGGGTGATGGAATCACCTGCCCCGATAGATCCTTGTAGTGAACACATTCCATCAGTGGTACTCTGGCCATCAGTTGCCCCAGTTAGAATAATCACTAGTGGCCAAGTCCTGTATTTCTCTCCAATTTAGCTCCAGTTAGTGCTGGAATATTTGCCAGTTACATGTAAGAAACAGCCAACCTGAGTCTTCAGGAAGAAACGCTATCACAATCTGCATGACCTTTGTCTCAGAATTGAGGATGGAGGTAGTTTGGCTCCTGGCTCTCAAGCTGGAACGTGGAAAGCCGCACTTCATCTGCAAGACTGGGAGATAAAGGCTCTTTGTACTTGATTTTAGCGGGGCTGGGAGCTGGGGCAACCAGTACTTCCCCTTTGCAGGTTTAAAGGTTCAGGGATAGCAAATGACCTGCTCATTCAGTTCTACAGTATACAGACAGCTTTTTGTTCGCCCTGTTTCGGCTCCTGTGCACTAGTCTACCACCTGTGGCTTGTATGTTTGTGAGCATTGTATTTAAATGAAATTTTCACCTGATCTCTCAGCTGTCCCGGGTCAGGAACTCTGCACTGCATTATTTCCGCAGCACTTGGTACTCTTCTCTGTGTGTGGTACATTGTGACCCCATGGTGCTTTGCACTGAAGGGTATATTCCAAGAGTCAGAGGTTGAGTGTGGTCCTCACTCACATTTGGCTCTGAAATGCCTGCGACTCAGAAAAGGCGAGCTGTGTGGTGGAGAGAGCACGACAGGAAAGTGCCCTGGAGTCTGGCTTCGGTTTCCGCCTGTCTCTGACCCTGGTCCGTGCCAGACAACCGTGTCACCCCTTAGCATTCTTATTTACAAAATGAGTGGGTAATTCTCCTAATTACTTCATAGCTCTGGCACTTGCCGAAATACTCTTCAAATAAATTCCAGGCAGAAAGCTGAAGCAACGCAACAACAATTCAGCTGAGTGTCCTCCAGTTCAAGTTTTGATACTACCCACTTAGCACAGACCCCCTGGGTTAAGGGGCTCCACCCCACACGCCTGCTCCCACTTCAGATGCCAGCCACAAGTCCCACGTGTCCCCCAGCCCCCCTCACTTCTGCCTGGCTGGCCACAGCTTTAGGATTACCCACCACCCCCTCAGGTTTGATCATTTGCCAGAATGACTGTCACGGAATTCAGGAAAGCTGTTTTGACTTTTACACAACAGCCCAGTGGTAGAGTCCTAAGGTGAGGGCTGGTGCCATGGCGGGGACAGGAGCGGCCACCCCGTGGAGTCAGCCATTCCCATCCAGTGCATCATGATATTCCCCAGCCCGAAAGCTCCCTAAGCCTTGTGGTCTGGAGTTTGTCTGAGTCTTTTATATAGCATGATTGATAAAACTGTCAGCCACGGGGTTGAACTCAATCTCCAGTCCTTCTCCCCACCCCGGAGGAGGTGGAGCTGAAAGTTCCAACTTTCCAGTCCTGTGGCGGGTTCTTCTGGCAGTCAGCCTCCGTCCTGAAACTCTCTGACGCCCATCCTTCCCCACTCCCAAGACCCCTCATTAGTATAAACTCAAGTCTGGTCCAGAGGGGCTGGTTGTGACGAGCCAGATACCCCCTCAGGAACTTCCAAGGGTTTTAAGAGCTCTGTGGCAGTAGCCAGGGACGAAGACCAAAACATATATGTACTTTTTTATTCTACAGATTGTATGTTAAAAAATTCTTTTTTCCTAATCAGTAAAGTTCACTGCTTTAGAACAATGGGATGATTATTTTTAGTGTGTTTCTTTTGGTTGTTTAATCGTTGAACGCACACATGTTGCCCTGTCTTAAGCGCGCTCTTCAGATGAAGCGCCTGACGCCGGAAGACGGTCTGTGTCTCTTACGGAAGTGGATGTCACCGTCCAGCAGAGACACAGCCACAGACATCAGGCCCTTCCTTTGCTTTCTCTCACCAAAGGAGCCAGTGCATCAGTCAGATGAAGGAGGTGAAGGAACAGTGTGAGGAGCGAATAGAAGAGGTCACCAAAAAGGGGAACGAAGCTGTAGCTTCCAGAGACCTGAGTGAAAACAACGACCAGAGACAGCAGGTAACTGGGGAATTTTTGCCAGGAGTTTCTAGAAGGTACCCCTATCTTGAAGCATTTTGTTTCTTTTATGTGCTGCCTGGCTTTCTCTAGACTCTGCCCTCCCTTGTGCGCTTGGCTCCCTGAGATACAACAAAGCAGAACCTGGTCCGGGATGACTGGACCCTAACCAAGGGTGCTGGCCTCCAGTCCCACTTCCCAGGCTCAGGGCTTTACGGGAATTATCGTATTTACAGCTCGCAGCCAGCCTGGGAGAGAGTTGCTGTTTTCCTGATTTGAGGACCCCAGGCCCACGGGAGGGGTGAAGTTCTGTGGCAGCGTCACACCACCTGGTCAGTGGTAGAGCCCATCAAGGCCTCAGGTCTGGCCGGCTCCATGTCTCGTGCTCTCATTCCGCCTCCCGTGCAGAGCACAGCCCACGAAGCTGCTGCTCGAAGCCTTCTGGGTGATCTTTGGTTGGTTTTTAAAAAACTATAGCAGCTTTATTAAGATATAATTTGCATTCCCTATGATTCATAGAAAATTTACAATTCATGGGTTCTGGGTGTATTCACAAAATTATGCAGCCATCACCACAGTCAATTGCAGAACATTTTTATTGGCACAAAAGAAACTCTGTATCTCTTAGTTCTCTCTTCATTTACCTTCAGTCCCCACAGCCCTAGACAGCCAACTGCTAATTTACTTTGTGTCTCTTGATTTGCCTCATCTGGACAATTTCCTGTCAATAGAATCATATATGTGTGGCCTTTTGTGTCTGGCTTTTTTTTGAGAGGGCATCTCGTTCTGTTGCCCAGGCTGGAGTGCAGTGGTGTGATCTCGGCTCGCTGCAACCTCCGCCTCCCAGGTTCAAGCGATTCTCCTGCCTCAGCCTCCCGAGTAGCTGGGGTTACAGGCACCCACCACCAGGCCTGGCCAACGTTTGTATTTTTAGTAGAGATGGGGTTTCGTCATGTTGGCTAGGCTGGTCTCGAACGCCTGACCTCAAGTGATCCGCCCACCTCAGCCTCCTAAAGTGGTGGGATTACAGGCGTGAGCCACTGCGCCTGGCCTGTCTGGCTGCTTTGACTGAGTATAAATGCTTCAGGGCTCATCAGGGTTGCAGCATGCATCAGTACTGCATTCCCTTCAGTGGCTGATTAATCTCCTGTGGATGGACCACATGTGGTTTATTCGTCATCAGTTGATGGGCATTTGGAGTGTTTCCACATTTTGGCTATTATGAATAATGCCATATGAACATGAAGCTTTTGTGTGGTCATATGTTTTCATATCTCTTGGATATTACCTAGGAGTAGAGCTGCTGGGTTATATGATAATCTATATTTAACCTATTGAGAAACTCCCAGACTTCTTCCAAAGTGGCCATACCATTTCCCACTCCCACCAGCAGTTTATGAGGGCTCCAGTTTCTTCACATCCTTGCCAACTCTTGATACTACTTTTTTCATGATACCCTTCCTAGCAGGTGTGGAGTGGTAGCTTATTGTCGTTTGGGTTTGCATTTCCCTAATAACTATGATATCCCTAATGATACTGAGCATCTTTTCACATGCTTCACTGGCCATTTGTATATCTTCTTTGGAGAAATGTCTATTCAGGTCCTTTGCTCATTTTTTAATTGAGTTATTTTTGAGTTGTAAGTTTTTAGAATCTATTTTACTAAAGATATAATGGACATATGATTTGCAAGTTTTTTTTTTTTTTCAATTCTGTGGGGTTTTTCACTTTCTTGCTGGTGTTTAGTTGAAGCACAAAAGTTCTTAATGGATTTTGACAAAATCCATTGTATTTGTTTTTTCTTTTGTTGTGTGTTCTTGGTGTTGTATCTGGGAACACTTTGACCCAAGATCTTGAAGATTTCCTGTTGCATTTTCTTCTCAGAGTTTTATCATTCTTAGTTCTTACATCTAGGCCTATGATTCATTTTCAGTTAATTTAATTCTTGCATATGGTGTGAGGTAGAGCTCCCGCTTCATTCTTGTGTGTGTGTGGATATCAAGTTGTCTCATTATCACTTGTTGAAAGAAAGACTGCTTTTCCCCCACTGAATTGTCTTGGCACCTTTGTCAAAAATCAGTGTGCTGTAAGTATGAGGGTTTTCAGTGAGCCTGAGTCCCTTGGCTGTGTATGTCCCCTATGCTGCTTAGTACCTACTCCCTACCCCAGTGGGACAGAGTGGCTAGAATGCGCTGGAGTTGAGTAGCTTCCTTCTCCCATGTGGAAGTCTAGAGCTTACTGGAGTTGGGTGTTTCATTCCCCCAGGTCAGTTAGGCTCTGATAATATCCCAGCAGGGGCTCTGGGTAATACACTCCTCCTGAGGGCCAGCCTGGTTAAGCAGAACAGAGCTCTGTGGCCTGTTTCAGAGTGGTTCCTCTCCCCGGCCACCTGCTGGAAGCACAAGCCAATTTTTCTCTGATATTTACTGAGAGCCTGGTTGAGCTCCTAGGGGTAAAACTCGTAAGTATGGGAGCCCTTTACGACTGGGGCAGCTTTTTTACTTTTTTTTTTCTTTCTTTCTTTTTGAGTTGGAGTTTCGCTCTTGTTGCCCAGGCTGGAGTGCAGTGGCGCAATCTTGGCTCACCGCAACCTCTGCCTCCTGGGTTCAAGCAATTCTCCTGCCTCAGTCTCCTGAGTAGCTGGGACTACAGGCATGCACTGCCACACCTGACTAATTTTGTATTTTTAGTAGATCTCGGGTTTCTCCATGTTGGTCAGGCTGGTCTCGAACTCCTGACCTCAGGGGATCAGCCCATCTCAGCCTCCCAAAGTACTGGAATTACAGGCATGAGCCACCACACCCAGCTGGGGCAGGTTTTTAACTCTCAGACTCATCCACACTGAGCCTCAAACAGTTCATACATGACAGGTCAGGCTCTCCCACCCCAACACCAGTTCCCTCGGTGACGTCTGCCCGAGCCTGGCCTGGTGAGCCGGGACTCACCATATTGGACCCTGTCTCCAGGCTTGAGGACAGTGATTTACACTCTGTCCTCACCTCTCCTATGGATCCAAGAAGAGCTGGTAACTTTTCAGTCTGTTTAGCTTTTTACTTGTTGTTAGGACTGAGTGGTAACTTGTAAGCTTCTCACGTGAGGAACTGAAAACTCGAAGTCTTACGTTCCTCCTCAGCACTGCTGGAGCTGCTTCCCGTAAGTTTTGGTATGCTGTGTTTTTGTTTTGTGTCAAAGCATTTTCTTTTTTTTTTTGAGACAGAGTCTCGCTCTGTCGCCCAGGCTGGAGCGCAAGTGCCATGATCTCTGCTCACTGCAGCCTCCGCCTCCCGGGTTCAAGCGATGTTCCTGCCTCAGCCTCCCAAGTAGCTGGAATCGCAGGCGCCCGCCATGACGCCCAGCTAATTTTTGTATTTTTAGTAGAGATGGGGTTTCACCATGTTAGCCAGGCTGGTCTCAAACTTCTGACCTCTGGTGATCCGCCTGCTTCAGCCTCCCAGAGTGCTGGGATTGCAGGCGTGAGCCACCGCACCTGGCTGGCCAAGCATTTTCTAATTTGCCTTGTGGTTTATTGTTGGACTCACTGGTGATTTAGGAGTGTGTGGTTTAATTTCCAAATATTTGCAAATGTCACAAGTTTCATTCTGTTTTGATTTATAATCCATTCCATTGCTATTAGATAATTCACTTTGTGTGATTTTAGTTATTTAAGTGTATGGAGGCTTGCTTTGTGGCCTGCCATTTGTTCATCCCGGAAAATATTCCGTGTGTATCTGAGAAGCAGGTGCATTTCCCCTTGCTGGGCTGAGGGTTCTGGAGATGTTCGTTCTGTCAAAGAGCATTTGTGGTGTTCACGTCTTCTTTTTTGTTGATCTTCCGCCTAGGTATTTTATGATTCTATAAATGCTTCCCCTCAGCAGAATCTCTGCCCAGTTTTATTCCGTCTTGACAGTACTTTCTGGGAGACCTTGACTCAACCTCTTGTCTTCTGATGTACGCCACGTGACCAGGGCGTGACCAGAGTAGACTGTGGCGTTTCTCGGGGTCTTGGTCGGAAGGATGTGGTGGGATTGGCGGGATTCTTGTACGGCTTCTGCTCACAGAGCCTTGCCCTGGCTTTCTGTCCTGTGCTTCTGTTTCAGCTTCAAGCCCTCAGCGAGCCTCAGCCCAGGCAGCAGGCAGCAGGCCTGCCACGTGCAGAGGTGCCACAAGGGAAAGGAAACGTGCCCGGTAACAGCAAGTTCCAGACTCCAGCCCCCAGTTCCGAAGTGGTTTTGGATTCGAAGAGACAAGTTGAGAAAGGTAAGCAGAGTCCAGCAGTTGCCCTGTCCCCTGCTCTCCAGAGCCCCGTCAGAGTCAGCGGTCCCAGCGAGCTGCTGAGCAGTCAGCGAACCCAGCAGCGGGCAGCCAGGAGCGGGTGTGTCTCTCTGGGCACCTGGAATTGCGGCACTGGGGCTTCTTGTGTGTCTGACTGATGTCTCCTCCTCTAAACGAAGTGCCTTGTCCTTTGGCAGCTGTGTAGAGAAAGGCCCAGGCTGCACCTTTATGCAGGCCATGGGTGGGCTTGTGGGACTCGGGGGAGGAGGCTGAGCCGCAGACACTGGGAACCAGGAGGTGCTGTCCATGGGCAAGCCCCGGGTGAGCCTGCCTGCCCTGGCTCCCAAGTGCTTGTCTCCAGCGGACAAGACGATCAGGTCACTCAGCAGGACACCCTCTTCCCTTTGTACCTTGTCAAGATAATTGAGTCCAGCTTTTGGGTTTTTTTTTTGGTAAGCTACTTTTCCCTTCGTCGCGGTTCTGACGATGAGCCGCAGGCACAGAAAGGCCTGCAGTCGGTGGCTGAGATCACAAAAGGAGCTACCTGGTTGTTCTCCTGTGTGCAGCCCACCCCACCCCCATTCCTTGGGAAGGTTCTGGGAATTGAGTGGAATGAGGTTTTTCTTTTTTTTTTTTTTTTAAATCAAATGCTGGTGAGGTCACAGCTAACTGTGTTCTGTGCACAGAGGAAATCAATGAGATCCAGGTGGTGAGTGAGGAGGGGCCTCAGAGGGACAGGCTGGGGCTGCCACAGGAGCCAGGCCGGGAGCAGGTGGTGGAAGACAGACCTGTGGACGGAAGAGGCTTCGGGGGAGCCAGAGAACTGGGCCAGACCCCACAGGTGCCAGCTGCCCTGTCAGTGAGCCAGGAAAATCCGGAGATGGAGGGCCCCGAGCGAGACCAGCTCGTCATCCCCGACGGACAGGAGGAGGAGCAGGAAGCTGCCAGGGAAGGTGGGTGTGAAGCTTCGGGGGCCGCCGTGGACTCCCTTCCACCAGACACCCAGCCACCTCCATCTCCTTCCCAGCACCGACGGAGCACCCTGAATTTGACCACACACAGTCCACAATTTGCGAGTTCCTTTTCGTTTGAAGGTTTCTTAGTCGTTTTCAAGAGGGAGGCGGGAAGGAAGAGCGGCACATGCTCCAGAACTCGAGGTTTTAGATGCAGGGTCGGCGGAGAGTCGCGGGGACCTTGCAGGTGGGCGGCCTGGAGATGGGTGCTTAGCATCCAGGGGACGCCTCCTCCTGGCAGGCCGGCCACATGGCCCATCTTTGCATCTCCACTGTCGTGCAGTGTCTGGTGCCATTTAGACAATCAGTGCCTAGTGAATGAATGGCCGAAGGAAGGAAGGAGTATTGGGTAGATGAAGGTTCGTGCGCATGTGAACATTGAGCAAACTTGACATGGGAATCCTTTTTGGTTTGGTTGACTTTTTTCTTTTTAAAGAAATAAAGGGTAGGAATCAGAGATCAAGCGACTATTCCGGGATGTATTTCAGTCCCTTCAGATGTGGAAAATGTCCTTCCCACCTGAGCCAGGAACACTTCTGAGGATATGACACCTGCGCTCTGGGGTGGACCAGTCACACAAGTTGGAGAATACACTGATTTGCAGAAGTTACCCTGATTCCATTTCAATCTAATTTTCACTTCATTGTCTTTCTGAAGAACGTGTCCTCCCAAGTTCCAGTTAAAGAAGTGCATGTTGTCAGCCTCCCGCTAAGTATCCCTGCTGGGTCGCTGTGTTCCGTGCCCACGCAACAAGGAGACGCTCATGGTGTGTGAGGCAGGGAGATCCCACCGGCTGGCTCAGCCTGTGGCGCCGCAGCGTCAGACCCCTCAGCGGCTGGTCACAAAGTGTAACAAAAGGTGGGCCTGAGATGCCACAGTGCCTGTAGGATGCACCTGCTTCTAGACGCAGGGGTGGTGACCTCACTTGAAGAAACATGCGGGCCTGTGCAGTTTCCACCCCAGGCAGTGAGCCAGAGAAACAGCCTAGAGCTGCTTTTCCAGGTGTGCACTTTTAAAAAAGATTCTGTTTGGCCGGGCGCGGTGCCTCACTCCTGTAATCCCAGCACTTTGGGAGGCTGAGGTGGGCAGGTCACGAGGTCAGGAGATCGAGACCATCCTGGCCAACATGGTGAAACCCCATCTCTACTAAAACTAAAAAATGAGCTGGATGTGGCAGCACATGCCTGCAATCCCAGCCACGCAGGAGGCTGAGGCAGGAGAATCACTTGAACCCGGGAGGCAGAGCTTGCAGTGAGCCCAGATTGTGCTAGTGCACTCCTTGCTGGGCGACAGAGCCAGACTCCATCTCAAAAAAAAAAAAAAAAAAAGATTCTGTTTACCCACCTGCACACACATATAAAATATGTAAGTTAAACCCTTTGAGTAGGTCTCTTGAAAGCCTTTTGTCCTCGTCTTCTCTGGCTGCTGCCCCTCCAGGGGTGAGTAGAGTAGTGGGTTCTCGCGCTGTAAGTATGAGGGACGGTTTCTCCTGTGGCTCACGGCGGCAGCTCCATTTCCTCTCTCCATTCTAAGGAGATGCTGTCATTAACTATAGATGTCCGTTCCTTCCCAGAACAGTGGCACTTTCTTTTACCTTGAGATCTGAGTTGTTCGCTAGTTTCTCCGTATTCAGCCTAGAATGCACCCTTTTATTCAGGGCCACGCTGTCTCTAGATTCAGAGTTCAGGTGGAGTACACATAATGCACGTGTTTGTCCCGGAACCCAGCCCATGCGTCCCTACCATTTCCAGAGAGGCAGCCGACAGACCTGATGGTGAGCAAGTATGGCTAACACCCAGCACCTGTGCTCTGATACTCCTGTGACACATCAAGACAGAAATGATGTAACTTATGTTTTATGTGCTAATTTTACAGGGAGAAACCAGCAGAAACTGAGAGGAGAAGATGACTACAACATGGATGAAAATGAGGCGGAATCTGAGACAGACAAGCAGGCAGCCCTGGCAGGGAATGACAGAAACATAGATGGTAAGAATGGGGCCTGGGTCGGTAGCAAGGTCAACTTTCATTTCCCCTTTCTGGTCCTTCGCTGTGATTATCCAGTGAATCCCCAACATTATATTGTAATTAATGGGTCATTGCAAAGAGACGGTCTCTTCTTTGGGAGCCTTTGAAACCAGGGGCAGTGGAGGGAGGGTGAGGGTGGAGAAGCCTAAGTTGATGAAAACCACTCGGAAAGCCTGCATCATTTCTAGAAACATTCAGTGTGGCTCAGGTCTTTAAGTAGGATGATTTTTCAGTGACTTTCAGGGATTTGCAAACAAAATGGCTAGGTCACTGCTTAATCAGTCTGCCTCCCAGATGAAAACCCCCGGGATGTGCATAGAGCTTCCAGGCAATTATGAGAGCTGCCCTTTGTAGTGTTATTTTGAATTTTTGAAGAGTCCAGGCCAGTATCTTGTAGAATGCATCAAACTCTGGCCTTGTCTGTCTGCTTGTGATGGATTCAGGCTGATGAATTCTTGCTTCTCCCCAGGAGGCATAACAGCAGGTGGTCCTGCTGGTGGTTGGTTGATCCCTTAGCTAACGTGCCCACGAGGTCTCAGAAGGGCGTTTTCCTTTTGCTATTAGTACATCATCTAGAAGAGGAGACTTTGAACTTGTGTGGCTTTACCATCCATTGATGAACACTGCCCAAGCGGTGACATTTTACCTGCTGCCATCCCAGCACATTTAGTACTTGACATTGTGTAAGGAACCCCTCTCCCTCCTCCCACACACTTGCTTGTTTGGTATCACTATGGACTTTCTTAAAATACATTTTTCTGGGTCAAGTGTGGTGGCTCATGCCTGTAATCCCAGCACTTTGGGAGGCCAAGGCAGGCAGATCATGGGGTCAGGAGATCGAGACCATCCTGACTAACACGGTGAAATCCCATCTCTACTAAAAATCCAAAAACTAGCCAGGCGTGGTGGTGCGTGCCTGTTGTCCCAGCTACTCGGGAGGCTGAGGGAGGAGAATCACTTGAACCCAGGAGGCGGAGGTTGCAGTGAGCCGAGATCGTGTCACTGCACTCCAGCCTGGGCAGTAAGAGTGAAACTCTGTCTCAACAAGAGAACCCAAGCCATGTGACTGGTTTCCCACACTCTGGATACTGCTGATTGTAGAGTCACGGGGCAGTTAAGCGAGTTCTCCTGGCCTCTTTTCTGTAGAGTGGCAGCTAGACTCAGAGGCTTGATGAGACTCAGGTCCAGGCTCAAGCCCTCGGTAAGATAAGTGGTGGTGTGTTCTTTCATCGGGAGGCACGTCATTTCTGGCTTCTTTTTTTTTTGAGTTGGAGTCTCGCTTCATTGCCCAGGCTGAAGTGCAGTGGTGCAATCTTGGCTAACTGCAACCTGGTGTCTTTCTTTTTGTGATACCAGTTGATAGTCAATGCCTGTATCAATTCATTTTTATGTCATTTGTTAACTGGAATGTTCTTAGAAATAGACACTTCGGCTGGGCGTAGTGGCACACGCCTGTAACCCAGCACTTTGGGAGGCCAAGGAGGGTGGATCACCTGAGGTTAGGAGTTCAAGACCAACCTAACATGGTGAAACCCTGTCTCTACTAAATATAAGAAAATTAGCTGGGTGTGGTGGTGCATGCCTGTAATCCCAGCTACTTGGGAGGCTGAGGAAGGAGAATTGCTTGAACTCAGGAGGCGGAGGATGCAGTGAGCTGAGATTGTGCCATTGCACTCCAGCCTGGGCAACAAGAGTGAAACTCTGCCTCAAAAAGAAAAAAAAAAAAAAGACACTTCAGTGGTATTGTTTGTTTAAGGTAGACAGGATAAATGCTTGATGTTTTTCACTTCAGTGGTATTGTTTGTATAAGGTAGATATTAGGATAAATGCTTGATTTTTTTCCTTTTTATTTAACAGTTTTCATGACTGAATTATTTTCCCGTCTTCCTCTGAGTGTGACTACTTTTAAAATATCATCATAAACTTCAGAATTCAGCAGAAATCCTCAGGGCAGCAGGAGTAGTTGTAACAACTACTTCACTTCAGTTTTGGCCTTGCTGATCTTGCCAGTGTCTTGTCTTTTCTTTTTCTCAGACCGAGTCTTGCTTTGTTGCCCAGGCTGGAGTGCAGTGGCATGATCTCGGCTCACTGCAACCTCTGCCTCCTGGGTTCAAGTGATGCTCCTGCTTCAGCCTCCCAAGCAGCTGGGACTAGAGGTGCGCGCCACCATATTCAGCTACTTTTTGCATTTTTAGTAGAGACAGGGTTTCACCGTATTGGCCAGGATGGTCTCGATCTCCTGACCTCGTGATCTTCCTGCCTTGGCCTCCCAAAGTGCTGGGATTACAAGCGTGAGCCACCACGTCTGGCTAACAATGCCTTCTTTTATTACCATTTGGCCAATGCATTATTCATTTAATGTTTTAATACTTACATTTTTTTTACCTTTTCATTTTGAAATAATCTAGATTTTTTTAAAAAGCAAAAAATTTCTGTATACCCTTCACCCAGGTTCACCAGTTGTTAACATCTTATATAACCATAGTAAAGTTACCAAAATAAGGAAGTTAATGCTGATACAATGCTATTATCTGTAGACTTCATTCAGATTTAGTGAGTGTCCAATTCATATCTTGTTTCTGGTTCAGGATGATACACTGCATTTATTGTCAGACCTCTGTAGTGTTCTTTATTGTGGAGCAGTTTCTGTCTTTCTCATTTGTGGTGTGGGTCTGTTTTGCAGGATAGGGGCCCAGTTATTTGGTGGAAAGTCCCTCAACCTGTGCTTGTCTGATTCTTCAACAGTGTCCCCCTAAAAATTATCTTTTATATTTATCCAGGATGTCAGTTGTTTCAATTGGCAGAGTTTGGAATTTTTAGAATGCAAGTCCTAATTTGAATTTTCAGCTGTCTTCATTTAGGCAATTTTTTAAAAAGGCCAATGGCAGAATACACCAGCAGCCAGACTCTGAAGCAAACACAAAGTCTCTTTCTATTCTTTGTCGTTGACTCCACTCGTGTGTTCTTGAGCATGTTTCACGGTCTGGTCACTGTCTTACCTCTATTCTAACAACATTTTTTTTTTTTGAGACGGAGTCTTGCTGTTTTTGCCCAGGCTGGAGTGCAGTGGCATGATCTTGGCTCACTGCAGCCTCCACCTCCCAGGTTTAAATGATCTTCCTGCCTCAGCCTCCCGAGTAGCTGGGAGCTGGGATTATAGGCTCGTGCCCAGCTAATTTTGTATTTTTAGTAGAGACAGGGTTTCACCATGTTGGCCAGGCTGGTCTCGAACTCCTGACCTCAGGTGATCCGCCTGCCTCAGCCTTCCAAAG